GACTATACCGTTTGCATTTGGATCTCTGCCGCAGTAGCCATCATTTACACACTGCTGGGAGGCCTCTACTCTGTAGCCTACACAGACGTCATACAGCTTACCCTCATATTCCTCAGTTTAGTGAGTTCTTCACTTGAAGTTCTTCAACAGCTTTTTATGAGGCAAATCGACTGAAAAAACTTAAAGTTTGTTACAGAATAGTCTGTTGCTGGAAATATAAGGGAGGCAATACCTCAGTCTGTAGGGATTTGGCTTGAGTCAATGAAGCCCAATGTGTTTCAAAAACAATAAATAAATAAAAAATAGACAAAGATCCTTCATGACAAACAAGATAAGAACATAAAAAGGTAGTACAATAAAAAAGGTAATAACGTAAAAAGGAAGCATGTCAATAATGTAGGAATGAGAGCCATTTACAGATTTAAACAATATGCATTACAGTAACTAGTCTACTGGAAATAAATGCCAGCTTTTCAGAACCTTTGACAGGAAGCATGTTTTAGACCAGCTTACTTCATCAAGTCATGTACGTTTTAACATTTTTAAATCAGTGGCTGATTTTCTTTTTCTGTAGTGGCTATGTGTCCCATTTATCCTGATGAGTCCTCATTCAACTGACATCACCAAGACTGCTTTAAACTTCACCTACCAGGCCCCCTGGATTGGTTCAGTGGATAAAGACAGAGCGTGGAGGTGGATTGATAATTTCTTATTATTGGTAAGGAATACATTTTGACAGGTCACAGTAGTAAAAGAATAAGCGTAAAAACTAGAATGAATGATGGATAGATAGATATTTTTTTCAACATTTGTAATTATTAAAGGTGAAACAAGACAAGATTATTATATGCAAATAAAGGCAACATTTGTTTTAAAAGTGGCCAGTTTGTAGACTGGTAAATGAATTATTGCCATAGTGGGCATGACCTAAGTCACATTTTTATCCAAAAAATTGTTTTCTTTTTATTACTTTATAGTAATACCAATACAGTTTATCTGACATACAGTATTGGGAATGAGGACAGTATTGTTAAAACAGGTTTTATTTCTGTTTTCCGAGACTTTTGGTAACCTTGGGTATCAGAGCTTCCACCAGAGGACCCTGTCAGCCGCCTCCTCAACCACAGCCAGGATAGCTTGCTTCACTGCGGCACCCCTAGTCATTATTCTGGGAATCCCATCCTGTCTTATTGGAGCAGTCGCAGCATCAACAGGTACAGCAAGAAACAGAAAACATATCACCTACTGTTGATCTAGTTGATAGAGGAACCCCATTTATAACTAAATATAAGATAGAGAGACTATGCTAATTGATGTCACATTATTGGTGTCAGACTGGAACTCTACCTTGTACGGCTCCCCGTCCCCATACGCGCGAGGAGAGGCCAGTCAGATTCTGCCCATTGCTCTGCAGCACCTCACCCCAAACTACATCTCCATCATCGGCATCGGAGCTATAGCTGCTGCCGTGATGTCATCAACAGACTCCGCTCTGTTATCAGCCGCCTCCATCTTCTCATCCAACATCTATAAGAACATCCTGAGGACCAAGGTAAGAGGAGACCTGAGGGGAAGAATAGAGTTGTGGTTGTTATCTCCACTGGAGGCGAGATTATGAGTTTGGTTGTCGGTGTGCATGCATCTGTTTTGCATACTATTTGACCCATCAGCCTCATATGTTTTGCTTTCATTTGTGACTGTATGCTCTAAGACCTCTTGTGGTTGCAGTGATTCACAGTTATTGAAAAACCTATTTTAAGGACTGATTTATACAGTCATTGACTACTGATTCCTCACTCTTCCTAAGTATCCAGTAATGGCCGCAGAGATCAATAACTAATGTATCAAAAGGCATTTCCAGCATTAGCTGGGCTATAAACAAGCCTTAACTTATCTGTCGGTAAAATATTGTTTATGATTGTCATGGCTCAAAAACAGACATTCATAGAAAATCCTGGTCTCAACTTAAACTGGAGCATTTGCTAATTATTTCCATACCCGATCTCTTATGATCAACTAAATAAAAAGGCAGGATAAGAGGTGAATCAATCCCTGTTGGCTGTCATCTTCACTGCCATCCTAACTTGCAGCAGGGAGGGACATTTTGTCATAACTTGTCTTTGTGTTTGAGGAGAGACACACCAGACCTGGTGATCCTCCTGAATGCACTTTTCTAGTTTATTTCAGTTTGAGCTTTTTCCCTCTGCAGGCATCGGGTAGGGAGCTCCAGTGGGTGATCCGGGCCACTGTGGTGTTGGTGGGCTTGGCTGGCACTGCACTCACCTTCCTAAACAACAGCATCATGGTTTTCTGGATCCTGGGCTCTAGCATAACTTACATTTTCATGTTTCCTCAACTCACCTGCGTCCTCTTCTTCAATATCTCCAACGGATACGGCTCCATTATTGGCTTGCTGGTTGGACTTTTTTTAAGAGTGCTGAGCGGCGAGCCGTCATTTGGGTTACCCATTGTTCTCCACTTTCCAGGTTCCACTCTTGAAAACGGCATATATGTCCAGCGCTCTCCTGTACAGACGATCTGCATGTTGTCCAACATGTTTGCCACTTTGTTGTTCTCCTATCTATTTTCACTGCTCTTCGATAAAGGACTGATTCCTGAAAGGTGGGACGTATTTAAAGTGAAAACCCACAAACCACAGAAGAAACGAATGCTAATGATCAATGATAACACCAAAACAGAAAAGGAGGAGGAATCTCAGAAAGAGACTGAGTTGATGTTGACCACAAATCTGCAGGATTGAAAAAGAGATGATTTAATGCTAATCTATAATGTTTTGTGTGATGCTTTAGCTATTGTCTCTACTTTAAGACCAAACATTGTAAAATGATAGTCCGTGCTGCCGGCACACGTCTTTTTTTCCAGGATCATGCCAGAGAGTCTAAAAGGGACAGTGAACTATAATGTCCTTATGTCTGGTGTCAAGTCAATTTCATTACAAGATGGCCAAAAGTTTTCTGAAAAGGATGAAGAAATGACTTAACACACTGCCAAAGGCTGGGGATTGTTCATTGAAGACTGTCAGAAAACAAGCTTCTTAAAATGCAAACAAGCTAGGTCAATGGTTAGACTGAAAGAGCTAATGAAGTCAAAGGACAATACAAATGACATACAATGAAATGAATCAAGCAAAATCCATTGCTGAACGTTCCACTGTCTTGAAAATGGAGGATAATAATCGATGACGGACTCAGTTAAACACACTTTAAATGGGAATGATTATCTGAAATTCATACAGGAGATAGACAAAGACTATCTGACCATAGAGAGAGCACTGGTGCTTTGAAACAGCAATGTTTATTGTTGGCATATTATAATACCGTATTTTGTTTTGATTTATCATGCAATATTATTTTGAACACTTGGCTTCAGTGATTAGCTTCACAAGGGTGTATAAATAGGGCCATAGGTGACCGGAAAGGAAGGGGAACAGGTAGAGAGAGCACACAGTTCTTACCAGAGGCTGCAACAAGCGCTAACAGATACAGCCACGCTTTAGATGCTAACTGCAAGAGACCACAAAGCAACCACCTAACAACTCGCTGGCAGAAAACAAAAATTGGTGTTGTAAGAATTTCAATAAATCACTGACTAAACAGCAACCAACTATCGGACAATCTTCTGTTTGTGTCTGTGTAAGTTTACTTTCACCACTTACTTACCTTTGTGATAATGGCAAATGCAAAGGGGATATTGGGACAGGAAAAACAATGCCAGCTAAAGGTTACTTAAGACCATGTGAGTGTGACCAGCTAGACCTCAGTTCTTTCCATGTCCATCAGCCAAGCATCTAGGTTGAGTTATCATGTAACTTTAGCTTTCTTGTTAATACCAACTGGACTTTGATCTCCATCCAAATCAGGCAAACTATGCCAATGATCTATGGTCAGTTAACATGTAACTTTAGCTAGCTTTTTATTATTGTTGCTGAATTAATGACAATTTTCTCTATACAGTGAGCATGTGTTACCTTTTATCCAGTAATAGAGTGCATAATAATTGCGGATGGCAACATTGAATACATATGCGCCCATGTAGTTATAATAATAATGATAATGATGATAATAAACATTTATTTATTTACATAGCACCTTTTGGAGAAGAATTGCAGCTCAAATTGATCTACATTTACACAGAATAAAGACAAAAAACACATCGATTTAAAGGAAACACAGGTAGGGAGTTAAAGGTGGGGTAGGTAAGTTTGAGAAACCGGCTCGAGATACACTTTTTGTTATATTTCATGGAATGCTCTTAACATCCCGATAGCAATGAATATATGAAATGCTTTGACAATAAATACATAAAAACATGTCATCTGTGGAAGCCGTGGCGCTGTAAAAAGCACGACCAATCATTTTAGCCGGCCCGGCTAAAATAACTGGATGGCCTACCTGCCTGTCAGCTTTGCACAAACTTATCTCGTGCCCTCATTGGTCATGTGCGCGTTCGTGTGTGTTGGAGGAGGAGGGGCTCTGTAAGGAAGAGGCCGATTTGTTCCGGATGTGTATTTTCAAATTCTAGCGCACTCGAGCTGGTTTCTCCAAAATTACCTACCCCACCTTTAAGTGATCTGCAATGCAGTAAAAGAAAGCCATTTAAAACATCAACTAATAAAACATGCATTTTAAAGTCACGACATAATGTGTTTTTAAAAACGCATAATAAAAATACATTTAAAGGCATAAAAGGCATTAAAAAGCAAAAATAATCTGCTTGTGGGGGGACACCACTATAAGACGTGCTAGCAAAGAGCATAGCTAAAGACAGATGGAAACACACCGACAGACAGATGACCCGAATTATCAGACTGTAGGGCAGGATTCCACGAAGGAGGTTAAACCGATAAAAAAATGAAAGCTGACATAAATTAGATCATTAACTCGACTACAGAGAGACAGACAGACTGAAAGACACAGACAGGTGGAAAGACAGACAGACAGACAGTCAGTCAGTGGATGAATAGACAGCAGAACGTTCAGCAGACTGGTGAGTAAGAGAGATATCACAGTAATGAAACAGCTAAAACAACGTCTATGTTCATTTAAACTTGTAGCTGAAGTTAACCTCAATTGAATTAAGCTTGCTGGTTAATGTCTGCCAACATTAATCTGTGATACATCAAACCTCAAGTTAAGGGCAGCAGTGGGTTTCTATCAGATTTGTATTTGTTTTCTTTAAAGAAGACTATGCTCAAGAAAAATATGAATGTAAAAAAAGTGTTTCCATCTGCAGTCCCTGGACAGGTACACACATAACAATCATCAGACAATAAAAACATGACATAGTCTCTGTCACACTAATGATTATAAAGACAGAACAAAGCATTGATCAACATTTAAATACCAGCACATTTATCAGTAGAATCAGGGTCAAATTATTGTTGACAAGACCGGTAGCTTAATATCTTCTTTTTCTTTTGCGATATTGGAAAAAAAAGTGCAAGTGTTTGCACGTTTTTAGTTTGGCTGGAAGCATATTGCAGTGCTTGACAGACATAAAAGAAAAAGCATGTTGTGCAAATGCACATAACTTAAATTGAAAAGGTCCGTCAGCAGTGCTGAATTGAAAGTATTTACCATATAACTGTGAAGCACTGTTACTGTTCTTTATCCTGAATATTCACTACTTTGCAGAATTTAAACATCAATGATTAAACAATAAGATATATCAAATGAATTTCATTTGTTGGTAACATGAGAAAATAATCATCAGATTGATCAAATAAAAACAAGAATAAGCTGCAGTAAAACTTCAAAGAGAAAAGAAGATGGAGCCACATTATTTGATTAACAGAACTTTAGCAAACATTTGCCTCAACGTTGGGTGCACACCCTGGGGGTTTGGGCTCTCCAGGCGGAGACCGCTGCTGCCGATCCTGAGAAATACAATTTACTGCAGCGCATCGACACCAAATAGAAGCCAGGTATGCCAACCTTAGCCACGCAGAAAATCAATAACGTCTAAGATTTTAAAGGCAGCCCTCTTTTCTCAACAGAAACTCAACAGTGAACTGCTTTATCAAAATAAACATAGATTTATTTCAAAAACTTGTGTTGGTCATTTTCAGGTTTTTGTTTGATTTAAAAACATACAGTCTTGGCTTTCAGAGTATGAAACTTTTATCAGCATATTCAGGCAGTGAATACTTGTTTAAGCTTGTAAATGCAGGATGAAAACTTCAGCAATTGTCCGCTTTCAAAAATGTAATGCCAGACATAGACTGTAAATGACTGATAGTTCAGTTGAGTTCAGAATATTAAACCCCAAATTCAGATGAAACCTAAAACGCTTAAAAAATGCTTGATAAAATGTGTGTATTGTGTTTGTGTTTTTACAAAAATAGATTATGATGAGAGTTTCTTAATCTCATAAATTCATGGGATTTATATTATGAAAAAACAGATAAATGTGAGTGTTTATGCATAGTTCAGTATTGTGTGTCGCACACATTTAATAGATTATACAATTGTTGTACTTGAATGTCTGTTTGCAATTATTTCCCTAGACTAGATTATGTTAGTAGATATGTTACCACTGTCCAGTTGAGGACAGCCATAAAGCTGATGTGGCCAATAAAGATGAGTTTATCACCCCTGCTATAACTGGAATTCATTTCAGCTTGTTTGGACACACAGTCAGTGAGTTTGAAGGGGTCGGTTGGAGCAACAGTTCTTCATTCAGTCCGTCAGTCGTGCACGATGAGTCTGAACATCCCAGGACTCGTGGTGATGGTGCTCTTCTACCTGCTGGTGCTGGGCACCGGCATTTGGGCCTCCATGAAGTCCAATCGACTGAAGAAGAGCAGCCAGGCGGACATTACAGAGATCACTCTGCTGGGGAACAGAGGGATCAGCCTGGTGGTGGGAATCTTCACCATGACAGGTAAGTGGGGGGTTACAAATAAAGTATTCAAATAAGTAGTTTGATGACATCTAGATGCATTTTAAATAAACAAAATCTATCAATTTGATCATGAATTTTCACATGCAATTTAAAAAAGATAAAGTATGGACACAGTATTATGTCTCACCAGTGGTGAAAAAAGTATTCAGATATTTACTTATACCTTATCATTTAATTGTTAAATTATATTTTGCAATAATCTAAATTGGCAAAGTAACTAAAGTTCTCAAATGTATGTAGTGAAAAGTATAAATATTGGTATAATATTGGCTTCCAAAATGTAGTGGAGGAGCTCAAGGAAGGTACTCAAGACTGTAATTGTAAACCTTGAGGGTGATGTGTGTGTGTGTGTGTGTGTGTGTGTGTGTGTGTGTGTGTGTGTGTGTGTGTGTGTGTGTGTGTGTGTGTGTGTGTGTGTGTGTGTGTGTGTGTGTGTGTGTGTGTGTGTGTGTGTCAAACAGCTACAGCTGTTGGAGGGGGCTTTATCGTCGGGCTGACAGAGGTAGTGTACACTCCAACCATGGGGCTGGCCTGGGCTGTCATACCAGTAGCAGTAGCCCTCTCTTTCATTGTTGGTAAGATATAAAAATGGCAATAAGTCACATGAAGTCAACCCGCATTGACCATATTGCTATACAAAAGCTGTGTGTCATCGACATTACAGTGGGAAGAAATGTTTAAATGATTTGGCCCAAGGAAGCATGTATAGAACAAAATGGGGTCTCGAAAGTGACACCTCAGGAAATCATCAGCCCTCGCTTTCATTGTTGGTAGGACATAATAATGTCAACAAGTTACATCAATACAAGTCACATTTATTTTCAAAGCACATTTGAAAACAACCTACATTGACCTTATTACTGTTCAGTCCAATAAATGCACAAATGAACAACGCATAGTTATGATCCCAATCCGCCACATCAGGACGTTACAACACACAAGAGTAAAAATATGTTTTTCAGTCTGGATATAAAACGGTCAATGAAGGGGACCAACCTGATAGTGGTGCTGTTTCACAATCTAGGAGTCTATTGCAATGCAGTTGAAATGCATTGGTAAATCAGTTAAGAACAAATGACACAGATCTGTTTCTCTTTTGTGGTTCAACGTTAAGGTGGACTTTTCTTTGCCAAGCCGATGAGAGACAAAAAATATGTGACGATGATTGACCCGTTCCAGATCAAGTATGGAAATGTAATAAGTGGAGTTCTGGCCATTGTACTGCTGATATGCGACATACTATGGGTTACAACAACTCTTATTGGTTTAGGTAAGTCAAACAGTTTACATTAAAAGTCCCATTTTGCAAAAATAACTTTTTTGTAATTCCTACAATTATTTGACTATTGCACCATGACAAAACATACATGAATTCTTGCTACCAACAAACTGACAAGCCTGGTGTTATGCACCAGCGTAACTTATAACTGATAATGAATGCATTATATTTGCATATGAGTCTGCCTGTATGTAATTGTGTTACCTTTTATAGGTGCAACAATGAGTGTGGTGTTGGATTTGGACTATACCGTTTGCATTTGGATCTCTGCCGCAGTAGCCATCATTTACACACTGCTGGGAGGCCTCTACTCTGTAGCCTACACAGACGTCATACAGCTTACCCTCATATTCCTCAGTTTAGTGAGTTCTTCGCTTGAAGTTCTTCAACAGCTTTTTATGAGGCAAATCGACTGAAAAAACGTAAAGTTTGTTACAGAATAGTCTGTTGCTGGAAATATAAGGGAGGCAATACCTCAGTCTGTAGGGATTTGGCTTGAGTCAATGAAGCCCAATGTGTTTAAAAAACAATAAATAAATAAAAAATAGACAAAGATCCTTCATGACAAAACAAGATAAGAACATAAAAAGGTAGTACAATAAAAAAGGTAATAACGTAAAAAGGAAGCATGTCAATAATGTAGGAATGAGAGCCATTTACAGATTTAAACAATATGCATTACAGTAACTAGTCTACTGGAAATAAATGCCAGTTTTTCAGAACCTTTGACAAGAAGCATGTTTTAGACCAGCTTACTTCATCAAGTCATGTACGTTTTAACATTTTTAAATCAGTGGCTGATTTTCTTTTTCTGTAGTGGCTATGTGTCCCATTTATCCTGATGAGTCCTCATTCAACTGACATCACCAAGACTGCTTTAAACTTCACCTACCAGGCCCCCTGGATTGGTTCAGTGGATAAAGACATAGCGTGGAGGTGGATTGATAGTTTCTTATTATTGGTAAGGAATACATTTTGACAGGTCACAGTAGTAAAAGAATAAGCGTAAAAACTAGAATGAATGATGGATAGATAGATATTTTTTTCAACATTTGTAATTATTAAAGGTGAAACCAGATTAGATTATTATATGCAAATAAAGGCAACATTTGTTTTAAAAGTGGCCAGTTTGTAGACTGGTAAATGAATTATTGCCATAGTGGGCATGACCGAAGTCACATTTTTATCCAAAAAATAGTTTTCTTTTTATTACTTTATAGTAGTAATACCAATACAGTTTATCTGACATACAGTATTGGTAATGAGGACAGTATTGTTAAAACAGGTTTTATTTCTGTTTTCCGAGACTTTTGGTAACCTTGGGTATCAGAGCTTCCACCAGAGGACCCTGTCAGCCGCCTCCTCAACCACAGCCAGGATAGCTTGCTTCACTGCGGCACCCCTAGTCATTATTCTGGGAATCCCATCCTGTCTTATTGGAGCAGTCGCAGCATCAACAGGTACAGCAAAAAACATATTGCCTACTGTTGATCTAGTTGATAGAGGAACCCCATTTATAACTAAATATAAGATAGAGAGAGACTATGCTAATTTATGTCACATTTTTGGTGTCAGACTGGAACTCTACCTTGTACGGCTCCCCGTCCCCATACGCGCGAGGAGAGGCCGGTCAGATTCTGCCCATTGCTCTGCAGCACCTCACCCCAAACTACATCTCCATCATCGGCATCGGAGCTATAGCTGCTGCCGTGATGTCATCAACAGACTCCGCTCTGTTATCAGCCGCCTCCATCTTCTCATCCAACATCTATAAGAACATCTTGAGGACCAAGGTAAGAGGAGACCTGAGGGGAAGTATAGAGTTGTGGTTGTTATCTCCACTGGAGGAGAGATTATGAGTTTGGTTGTCGGTGTGCATGCATCTGTTTCTGTTTTGCATACTATTTGACCCATCAGCCTCATATTTTTTGCTTTCATTTGTGACTGTATGCTCTAAGACCTCTTGTGGTTGCAGTGATTCACAGTTATTGAAAAACCTATTTTAAGGACTGATTTATACAGTCATTGACTACTGATTCCTCACTCTTCCTAAGTATCCAGTAATGGCCGCAGAGATCAATAACTAATGTATCAAAAGGCATTTCCAGCATTAGCTGGGCTATAAACAAGCCTTAACTTATCTGTCAGTAAAATATTGTTTATGATTGTCATGGCTCAAAAACAGACATTCATAGAAAATCCTGGTCTCAACTTAAACTGGAGCATTTGCTAATTATTTCCATACCCGATATCTTATGATCAACTAAATAAAAAGGCAGGATAAGAGGTGAATCAATCCCTGTTGGCTGTCATCTTCACTGCCATCCTAACTTGCAGCAGGGAGGGACATTTTGTCATAACTTGTCTTTGAGGAGAGACACACCAGACCTGGTGATCCTCCTGAATGCACTTTTCTAGTTTATTTCAGTTTTAGCTTTTTCCCCCTGCAGGCATCGGGTAGGGAGCTCCAGTGGGTGATCCGGGCCACTGTGGTGTTGGTGGGCTTGGCTGGCACTGCGCTCACCTTCCTAAACAACAGCATCATGGTTTTCTGGATCCTGGGCTCTAGCATAACCTACATTTTCATGATTCCTCAACTCACCTGCGTCCTCTTCTTCAATATCTCCAACGGATACGGCTCCATTATTGGCTTGCTGGTTGGACTTTTGTTAAGAGTGCTGAGCGGCGAGCCGTCATTTGGGTTACCCATTGTTCTCCACTTTCCAGGTTCCACTCTTGAAAACGGCATATATGTCCAGCGCTCTCCTGTACAGACGATCTGCATGTTGTCCAACATGTTTGCCACTTTGTTGTTCTCCTATCTATTTTCACTGCTCTTCGATAAAGGACTGATTCCTGAAAGGTGGGACGTATTTAAAGTGAAAACCCACAAACCACAGAAGAAACGAATGCTAATGATCAATGATACCACTAAGACAGACAAGGAGGAGGAATCTCAGAAAGAGACTGAGTTGATGTTGACCACAAATCTGCAAGGTTGAAAAATAAATGATTTAATGCTAATCTATAATGTTTTGTGTGATGCTTTAGCTATTGTCTCTACTTTAAGACCAAACATTGTAAAATGATAGGCCGTGCTGCCGGCACACGTCTTTTTTTCCAGGATCATGCCAGAGAGTCTAAAAGGGACAGTGAACTATAATGTCCTTATGTCTGGTGTCAAGTCAATTTCATTACAAGATGGCCAAAAGTTTTCTGAAAAGGATGAAGAAATGACTTAACACACTGCCAAAGGCTGGGGATTGTTCATTGAAGACTGTCAGAAAACAAGCTTCTTAAAATGCAAACAAGCTAGGTCAATGGTTAGACTGAAAGAGCTAATGAAGTCAAAGGACAATACAAATGACATACAATGAAATGAATCAAGCAAAATCCATTGCTGAACGTTCCACTGTCTTGAAAAAAATGGAGGATAATAATCGATGACGGACTCAGTTAAACACACTTTCAATGGGAATGATTATCTGAAATCCATACAGGAGTTGGACATGGACAAAGACTATCTGACCATAGAGAGAGCACTGGTGCTTTGAAACAGCAATGTTTATTGTTGGCATATTATAATACCGTTTTTTGTTTTGATTTATCATGCAATATTATTTTGAACACTTGGCTTCAGTGATTAGCTTCACAAGGGTGTATAAATAGGGCCATAGGTGACCGGAAAGGAAGGGGAACAGGTAGAGAGAGAGCACACAGTTCTTACCAGAGGCTGCAACAAGCGCTAACAGATACAGCCACGCTTTAGATGCTAACTGCAAGAGACCACAAAGCAACCACCTAACAACTCGCTGGCAGAAAACAAAAATTGGTGTTGTAAGAATTTCAATAAATCACTGACTAAACAGCAACCAACTATCGGACAATCTTCTGTTTGTGTCTGTGTAAGTTTACTTTCACCACTTACTTACCTTTGTGATAATGGCAAATGCAAAGGGGATATTGGGACAGGAAAAACAATGCCAGCTAAAGGTTACTTAAGACCATGTGAGTGTGACCAGCTAGACCTCAGTTCTTTCCATGTCCATCAGCCAAGCATCTAGGTTGAGTTATCATGTAACTTTAGCTTTCTTGTTAATACCAACTGGACTTTGATCTCCATCCAAATCAGGCAAACTATGCCAATGATCTATGGTCAGTTAACATGTAACTTTAGCTAGCTTTTTATTATTGTTGCTGAATTAATGACAATTTTCTCTATACAGTGAGCATGTGTTACCTTTTATCCAGTAATAGAGTGCATAATAATTGCGGATGGCAACATTGAATACATATGCGCCCATGTAGTTATACTAATAATAATAATAATGATAATAAACATTTATTTATTTACATAGCACCTTTTGGAGAAGAATTGCAGCTCAAATTGATCTACATTTACACAGAATAAAGACAAAAAACACATCGATTTAAAGGAAACACAGGTAGGGAGTTAAAGGTGGGGTAGGTAAGTTTGAGAAACCGGCTCGAGATACACTTTTTGTTATATTTCATGGAATGCTCTTAACATCCCGATAGCAATGAATATATGAAATGCTTTGACAATAAATACATAAAAACATGTCATCTGTGGAAGCCGTGGCGCTGTAAAAAGCACGACCAATCATTTTAGCCGACCCGGCTAAAATAACTGGATGGCCTACCTGCCTGTCAGCTTTGCACAAACTTATCTCGTGCCCTCATTGGTCATGTGCGCGTTCGTGTGTGTTGGAGGAGGGGCTCTGTAAGGAAGAGGCCGATTTGTTCCGGATGTGTATTTTCAAATTCTAGCGCACTCGAGCTGGTTTCTCCAAAATTACCTACCCCACCTTTAAGTGATCTGCAATGCAGTAAAAGAAAGCCATTTAAAACATCAACTAATAAAACATGCATTTTAAAGTCACGACATAATGTGTTTTTAAAAACACATAATAAAAATACATTTAAAGGCATAAAAGGCATTAAAAAGCAAAAATAATCTGCTTGTGGGGGGACACCACTATAAGACGTGCTAGCAAAGAGCATAGCTAAAGACAGATGGAAACATACCGACAGACAGATGAACCGAATTATCAGACTGTAGGGCAGGATTCCACGAAGGAGGTTAAACCGATAAAAAAATGAAAGCTGACATAAATTAGATCATTAACTCGACTACAGAGAGACAGACAGACTGAAAGACACAGACAGGTGGAAAGACAGACAGACAGACAGTCAGTCAGTGGATGAATAGACAGCAGGACGTTCAGCAGACTGGTGAGTAAGAGAGATATCACAGTAATGAAACAGCTATAACAACGTCTATGTTCATTTAAACTTGTAGCTGAAGTTAACCTCAATTGAATTAAGCTTGCTGGTTAATGTCTGCCAACATTAATCTGTGATACATCAAACCTCAAGTTAAGGGCAGCAGTGGGTTTCTATCAGATTTGTATTTGTTTTCTTTAAAGAAGACTATGCTCAAGAAAAATATGAATGTAAAAAAAGTGTTTCCATCTGCAGTCCCTGGACAGGTACACACATAACAATCATCAGACAATAAAAACATGACATAGTCTCTGTCACACTAATGATTATAAAGACAGAACAAAGCATTGATCAACATTTAAATACCAGCACATTTATCAGTAGAATCAGGGTCAAATTATTGTTGACAAGACCGGTAGCTTAATATCTTCTTTTTCTTTTGCGATATTGGAAAAAAAAGTGCAAGTGTTTGCACGTTTTTAGTTTGGCTGGAAGCATATTGCAGTGCTTGACAGACATAAAAGAAAAAGCATGTTGTGCAAATGCACATAACTTAAATTGAAAAGGTCCGTCAGCAGTGCTGAATTGAAAGTATTTACCATATAACTGTGAAGCACTGTTACTGTTCTTTATCCTGAATATTCACTACTTTGCAGACTTTAAACATCAATGATTAAATAAACCATAAGATATATCAAATTAATTTCATTTGTTGGTAACATGAGAAAATAATCATCAGATTGATCAAATAAAAACAAGAATAAGCTGCAGTAAAACTTCAAAGAGAAAAGAAGATGGAGCCACATTATTTGATTAACAGAACTTTAGCAAACATTTGCCTCAACGTTGGGTGCACACCCTGGGGGTTTGGGCTCTCCAGGCGGAGACCGCTGCTGCCGATCCTGAGAAATACAATTTACTGCAGCGCATCGACACCAAATAGAAGCCAGGTATGCCAACCTTAGCCACACAGAAAATCAATAACGTCCAAGATTTTAAAGGCAGCCCTCTTTTCTCAACAGAAACTCAACAGTGAACTGCTTTATCAAAATAAACATAGATTTATTTCAAAAACTTGTGTTGGTCATTTTCAGGTTTTTGTTTGATTTAAAAACATACAGTCTTGGCTCTCAGAGTATGAAACTTTTATCAGCATATTCAGGCAGTGAATACTTGTTTAAGATTGTAAATGCAGGATGAAAACTTCAGCAATTGTCCGCTTTCAAAAATGTAATGCCAGACATAGACTGTAAATGACTGATAGTTCAGTTGGGTCTGCGCAAGGGGGTTTTCATCTGGTCTTAAATAAAAACAAAGTCTTTACTTTCAGAATATTAAACCCCAAATTCAGATGAAACCTAAAACGCTTAAAAAATGCTTGATAAAATGTGTGTATTGTGTTTGTGTTTTTACAAAAATAGATTATGATGAGAGTTTCTTAATCTCATAAATTCATGGGATTTATATTATGAAAAAAACAGATAAATGTGAGTGTTTATGCATAGTTCAGTATTATGTGTCGCACACATTTAATAGATTATACAATTGTTGTACTTGAATGTCTGTTTGCAATTATTTCCCTAGACTGGATTATGTTAGTAGATATGTTACCACTGTCCAGTTGAGGACAGCCATAAAGCTGATGTGGCCAATAAAGATGAGTTTATCACCCCTGCTATAACTGGAATTCATTTCAGCTTGTTTGGACACACAGTCAGTGAGTTTGAAGGGGTCGGTTGGAGCAACAGTTCTTCATTCAGTCCGTCAGTCGTGCACGATGAGTCTGAACATCCCAGGACTCGTGGTGATGGTGCTCTTCTACCTGCTGGTGCTGGGCACCGGCATTTGGGCCTCCATGAAGTCCAATCGACTGAAGAAGAGCAGCCAGGCGGACATTACAGAGATCACTCTGCTGGGGAACAGAGGGATCAGCCTGGTGGTGGGAATCTTCACCATGACAGGTAAGTGGGGGGGTTACAAATAAAGTATTCAAATAAGTAGTTTGATGACATCTAGATGCATTTTAAATAAACAAAATCTATCAATTTGATCATGAATTTTCACATGCAATTTAAAAAAGATAAAGTATGGACACAGTATTATGTCTCACCAGTGGTGAAAAAAGTATTCAGATATTTACTTATACCTTATCATTTAATTGTTAAATTATATTTTGCAATAATCTAAATTGGCAAAGTAACTAAAGTTCTCAAATGTATGTAGTGAAAAGTATAAATATTGGTATAATATTGGCTTCCAAAATGTAGTGGAGGAGCTCAAGGAAGGTACTCAAGACTGTAATTGTAAACCTTGAGGGTGATGTGTGTGTGTGTGTGTGTGTGTGTGTGTGTGTGTGTGTGTGTGTGTGTGTGTGTGTGTGTGTGTGTGTGTGTGTGTGTGTGTGTGTGTGTGTGTGTGTGTGTGTGTGTGTGTGTGGTGTGTGTGTGTGTGTGTGTGTGTGTGTGTGTGTGTCAAACAGCTACATCTGTTGGAGGGGGCTTTATCGTCGGGCTGACAGAGGTAGTGTACACTCCAACCATGGGGCTGGCCTGGGCTGTCATACCAGTAGCAGTAGCCCTCTCTTTCATTGTTGGTAAGATATAAAAATGGCAATAAGTCACATGAAGTCAACCCGCATTGACCATATTGCTATACAAAAGCTGTGTGTCATCGACATTACAGTGGGAAGAAATGTTTAAATTATTTGGCCCAAGGAAGCATGTATAGAACAAAATGGGGTCTCGAAAGTGACACCTCAGGAAATCATCAGCCCTCGCTTTCATTGTTGGTAGGACATAATAATGTCAACAAGTTACATCAATACAAGTCACATTTATTTTCAAAGCACATTTGAAAACAACCTACATTGACCTTATTACTGTTCAGTCCAATAAATGCACAAATGAACAACGCATAGTTATGATCCCAATCCGCCACATCAGGACGTTACAACACACAAGAGTAAAAATATGTTTTTCAGTCTGGATATAAAACGGTCAATGAAGGGGACCAACCTGATAGTGGTGCTGTTTCACAATCTAGGAGTCTATTGCAATGCAGTTGAAATGCATTGGTAAATCAGTTAAGAACAAATGACACAGATCTGTTTCTCTTTTGTGGTTCAACGTTAAGGTGGACTTTTCTTTGCCAAGCCGATGAGAGACAAAAAATATGTGACAATGATGGACCCGTTCCAGATCAAGTATGGAAATGTAATAAGTGGAGTTCTGACCATTGTACTGCTGATATGCGACATACTATGGGTTACAGGAACTCTTATTGGTTTGGGTAAGTCAAACAGTTTACATTAAAAGTCCCATTTTGCAAAAATAACAATTTGTAATTCCTACAATTATTTGACTATTGCACCATGACAAAACATACATGAATTCTAGTAAATGATTATTATGATGTTGGTTTAATCTCGCTACCAACAAACTGACAAGCCTGGTGTTATGCACCAGCGTAACTTATAACTGATAATGAATGCATTATATTTGCATATGAGTCTGCCTGTATGTAATTGTGTTACCTTTATAGGTGCAACAATGAGTGTGGTGTTGGATTTGGACTATACCGTTTGCATTTGGATCTCTGCCGCAGTAGCCATCATTTACACACTGCTGGGAGGCCTCTACTCTGTAGCCTACACAGACGTCATACAGCTTACCCTCATATTCCTCAGTTTAGTGAGTTCTTCGCTTGAAGTTCTTCAACAGCTTTTTATGAGGCAAATCGACTGAAAAAACTTAAAGTTTGTTACAGAATAGTCTGTTGCTGGAAATATAAGGGAGGCAATACCTCAGTCTGTAGGGATTTGGCTTGAGTCAATGAAGCCCAATGTGTTTCAAAAACAATAAATAAATAAAAAATAGACAAAGATCCTTCATGACAAAACAAGATAAGAACATAAAAAGGTAGTACAATAAAAAAGGTAATAACGTAAAAAGGAAGCATGTCAATAATGTAGGAATGAGAGCCATTTACAGATTTAAACAATATGCATTACAGTAACTAGTCTACTGGAAATAAATGCCAGCTTTTCAGAACCTTTGACAAGAAGCATGTTTTAGACCAGCTTACTTCATCAAGTCATGTACGTTTTAACATTTTTAAATCAGTGGCTGATTTTCTTTTTCTGTAGTGGCTATGTGTCCCATTTATCCTGATGAGTCCTCATTCAACTGACATCACCAAGACTGCTTTAAACTTCAC